TAGCAGTTTGGAAGGCAAATGCAACATCAGCATTCATTTCAAGAGGGCTGGAATAGAGGAGCAGGAATGTACTGCTGAGGACGTAAACACATTTGGAGCATTATGAGCAGTTTTGGGCCCTGTACCTGAGGAAGAATGTGCTGGGTTTGGAGGTGGTCCAGAGGAGGTTTACAGAATGAACCCAGCGATGAAGGGCTTGTCATGTGAGGAGTGGTTGAAGATTTTGATTTATACTCAATGGAGTTTAGGCAAATGAGGAAGGAACCTGATTGAAACTTACAGAATACTGAGAGGCCTGGGTAAAGTGGTCGTGGAGAAGATGTTTCCACTAGTAGGTGAGACTAGATCCTGAGGGCACAGCCTGAAAGTAAAGGGATGACCCTTTAGAACTAAGATGAGGAGAAATTTCTTCAGTCAGAGGCTGGTGAATTTGTGGAACACATTGCCACAGAAGGCTGTTGGAGGCCAAGTCACTGAGTGTCTTTATGACAGAAATAGATAGGTTCTTGATCAATAAGGAGATCAAGGGTTATGGGGAGAAAGCAGGAGAATGAAGCTGTGTAACATAATAGCCACGATCAAATGACGGAGTAGACTCAATGGGCTGAATGGCCTAATTCTTCCAATATCTTATGATAACATTACAAGACCTCAGTGTGCAGAGCAGTTCTGGTTTGCAGCATCAGAACTTAATGTGCAACTGGCATTTACATGTGACATCAGCAGCGATAAACAACTCAAAGTCCTGGCAGCAGGGAGTGCTTCAGCTTCGTACGCTGCCTGATTCCACAAGGAGGGTGCCAGAGAGACTGGCTGGATAGTTAATTGTTTGAATAGCTGAATATTGATACAGAAAAGTCATGAGGGGCCATGACGGACTGAGTTCTCTGAATCTCAGTCAAAGAAATACAGCCCAAAATAAGAAAAATTCAGTCCAATGGCCTCACTACTAAAGTCTTTTTTCCCCTGGAATTCCTATTGTATTATGTAAGAACTTGACGTCCAGTTGCCACTTCCACTGTAAAAAAAACAATCCAGTAGCCCATTGACTTTTAGGGAAAGTTCTAAGGTGCTGCCAGCCCCTGTGAAACTGTACCTCAGCAAATTTCAGGCAAGACAAGGAGCAAACATTGATATTAAAAAATTATTATAAGTTGCAGAACAAGCCTTGATTCCTTACTTATTTTGAGAATTATAATTATTATATATTGGTACAGCTTTCTTCACAAGAATATAATAGGAGCAGGACTGGGCCATACAGTCCCTCAAGGCTGTTCAACCTTTCTCTAAGATCTGGACTGAACTTTTACAAAAGTTCTATTTTCCCATCCTACTCCTTTATACCTCAATTCCCTTACTCTCCTAAAAGGTCTTCTGATGATACTCAATAATGGAATACCCACAGTCCTCAGGGATAGACAATTCCAAAAGATCCACAATCTGTTCAAGTGTTACAGGTGCCATACAAACTCCCCCATTTATTTTACAATCTGATAATCTTTCCCAAGTATCAATTCCTGTCAAATCTTTCTTATTGATACATTTTTAAAAATGTGTTATGCCGAATGAACCTTCCAAAATTATTGCGGCCTTAAAATCTTTGGTTTTCTTCTTTCCCCAACAGTCTCTTCGGAATATAACAGTAAATATTATATTTACCACAATGAAGGATGTCAGTACAGGAAACCCCCCATTTTTGACAAAAGGTCCTCCGTGTGAAATAAATCTACAAGTCAGATGCAGAGTGGCAGTCCCAAATCCTCTTCTCCCATCATCACCATCCACCAATTACCCCTCCCTACCTTAATCTACAGTGACTGAATCAGGACTGCACAAAAATCTTTGAACTTCAGATCCTAACAGCTGAAGTAAAATGGAAAACTTTCCACCAATAGTTTACTGGATTTGAATCAGTGTCCCAGAGGTGAAAAAAATATTGCGCTGACCCATTCAATCTACCACCCCAGCCATTCTTACGAGCCAATTCTGACAGGAAATTATTCCTGACAGGAATTATATATTAAACAATTCCCATTAATAATTACAGCACAAAATCTGCAGAAATCTTCCTAACTAAGCATTTTCTCATATTCATTGTTTGCTGTCCTAGATCCATCAAGGAACAAATTGACCCAAATTTTGAATTCCACTTGTTGTATTACAAAATATTTTAACTGTGTGATGGCGAATTACAAGAGAAAAACCTGCAGTGTAAGAATTCCTTCTCTAAAAACTGATGAAATATCAACTATTACTTATACAAAGGCACAGTAATCAGTTACAGCAAACAACAGGAGTCAACTCCATTACATAGCCCACACACCACAATGCATCCCTGCTCTAAGCAATGCAAGCTAGCTTTAAGCAATACTAGCCAGCTGCAAGCAGTAACCATTCACAACATTGGCACCATGCTGGCATGTCCAGCCAAGCTGCTTCAGGAAAGCAGCCAACATAATCAAAGATTCCTCCCTCACTGGTTATACTCTCTTCCACTTTCTTCCATTGGGCAGAAGATATAAAAGTTTGAAAACACATACCAACAGATTCAAGAGCAGCTTCTTCCCCACTGTTATCAGACTTATGAACAGACCTCTCATACATTAGAGTTGATCTTTCTCTGCACC